GGGGAGCCGGCGGGCGGGGCTGGCAGGGGCGCTGCCCTGGCACAGCTCGGCGCCTGGCAGCGGGGCGGGTGGGGCGCCAGCGAGGAGCGGCCACCGCCGCGGGAAGCCCGGCCGGGCTGCGACCGCAGGTAACGGGCCGCTAGGCCCCGCGGGCCAGGCGGGGACCAGGGGCGGGCGAGTGGGCAGGGACGCTCAGGGCCGGCTCCTCCGGCCGCACGGCCAGGGCGGATTTGGGGGCCGAAAGGAAAAGCCAAGTCGGGAGCCCAGGGACCGGGGCTGGCGGACTCCTCCCGCCCTGTCTGAAGTTGGGAAACTTTCCCCCAAGTTTTGGGCAGTGCGGTTCCCGGGGAGAAGGGGCCAAGGGGAGCTGGGGAGGGAGGCGCCGGGCCCGCGAAGGCAGAGCCGAGGCCGAGCCCAGGGCCGGGATGCGGGTGGGGCGCAGGCCGGGGTCAGGGCCGCAGCCGGCTGTGCGTCGTGCCCGCCCGGGGCGCTGCCCCCTCCCTCCCCTGGGAGCTGCGTGGCTCCCCCCTCCCCCCCACCTGCTTCCTGCCTCAGCCTCCTGCACCGATATAACGCCCTCCCTGCGCCGGGGCCCGGCCTTCGCGCTCTGCCCGCCAAGGCAGCCTCTGCCTCTGCTCCCCGCGCCGGGCGGGCCGCTGCCCCGGGCCGGTCAAAGGGGCTGACAGCCCTGGGTCAGGGCGGCGCCTCGGTGGGCACCGTGCTCCCCTCCTCCGGATTACTTCCCTGCTCCGGGGGCAACTTCTCCCAAGGCGGGAGGCGCTTCCTACTCGCCTCCCTTTCTCCCATCTTGGGCAAACTACTCGGCCCTGAATGAATTTTCCTCAAGCGGATATTTCCCTCAAACGGGGTAACTGGCTCAGAAAGGGTCACTTGGTCCCCTCACCCCAGTTTTCTCCTCGAAAGCCCCCCGAACCCAGCTCCTGTGCCCACTGGCGTCTGGGCCTGGGATGCGCAGGCCAGCCTGGCCTCCTCTCCGCCGCCGGTGGCAACTCTTTTCCTCTAGCTCGGCCTGCGGGCCCAGGCTCCCACTCCCAGAGGCCGCTGAGCCTGTCTGCCAGTGCCCAGGCCACGGTGCTCCAGGCCCCTGGCCCAGCTGAAGGGCAGGGGAAGTGGAAGGGCGAATCGCCGGGCTGGGTTAAGAAGGCGAGGGCGCAGCGCGCCTCTGATCCGGCTGCTGTGTGTCCCCGCAGGAGGTTGAGCTGGGCAGACGATGCTGGACACGATGGAGGCGCCGGGCCACTCGAGGCAGCTGCTACTGCAGCTCAACAACCAGCGCACCAAGGGCTTCTTGTGCGACGTGATCATCGTGGTGCAGAACGCCCTCTTCCGCGCGCACAAGAACGTGCTGGCGGCCAGCAGCGCCTACCTCAAGTCCCTGGTGGTGCATGACAACCTGCTCAACCTGGACCATGACATGGTGAGCCCAGCCGTGTTCCGCCTGGTGCTGGACTTCATCTACACCGGCCGCCTGGCCGACGGCGAGGAGGCAGCGGCGG